CACGCTCAGCCAGTGAGCGCACCAGCCAGTCCTATATAGGATCCGAACCTGCGGCGGGAGCGACGCTGCGCTCCCAGCGCTGCACTCTCCGGAGTGCACCACGGGGCCGGCCCAAGACCACATATTATATGATTCCAATTACATGAAATGTCCACAAAAGGCAAATCAATAGAGACAGAAAGAGATTAGTGCTTCCCTGGGTCTGGGGTAGAAACAGGGAGTTAATGCAAATGGGCACAAGGGATCTTTCTGGGGTGATGAAATGTTCTAAAATTGGACTGTGGTGATGGCTGCACAACTTTGTAAATTTACTAAAATGGTTGAATTGTGCACTTGAAATGGGTGACTTTATGGTATGTAAATTACACCTCAAGAAAGCTGTTGGATTTTTTTGTTTTCGTTTTTTGGTGGCTGACCAGTACAAGGATCCAAACTCTTGATGTCAGTCACAACACCACATTCTGACCAACTGAGCTAACTGGCCAGCACAAAACTGTTTTTTTAAAAAAGTTAAAAGTACACTGCTATGGATTGATTTGTGTCCCCCAAAGTTCCATGTATTGGAATCTTAATTCTCGCTGTGACATTGTTAAGAGGATGGGAAATTCTATTATAATTGAAAGGTGGGGTCTTGAAGAGGTGATTAGATTGTGAGGACCATGCCGTAGTGAATAGATTGATGGCTTAATGGTGGTCGTGGGTGTGGTCCTCATGGCTTTAAAAGGAGAGAGCATGAGAAGCTCCCTCTTGGTCAGCCATTTGCCATGTGACATCCTGTGTCACTGTGTAGAGTTGCTACAAACAAGGCCTTCATCAGAGGTGTTCCCTGGACTTTGGACTTCCCAGCCTCTGAAACTGTAAGAAATAAATTATCTTTCTTTATGAATTGTCCAATTTCAGGTATTCTGTTATAAGCAGCGGGAACAGACTAATGCACACACCCACACTATGTGATTCATTCTATCCTCAGGCATTCATCCAAAGGGAAAGAAGTGTTTGTGCAGACTCCTCTATGAGTGTTCACAGCAGCTCTATTGTAAATAGCAATGTCCATCTACAGGTGAATGTTTAAGCACATTGCAGTGTATCAAAAGGTATTCTGACCACTTTCACCACCTCTATCACAACCACCCCGGTCCTAGGCACCATCGTGTCCTGTTTAGAACATTGCATTTGCCTCCTGGCTGGCCTCTTTGCTTCCATCCTTACTCTCTGTTGTCTAGTTCCCACATAGCAGCCGAGGCCCCTGTTAAGATGTAAGTCAGCTCATGTTGCTCCTCTGCTCAGAACTCTCCGATGGCAACTACCTCACTCACAGAAAAAGCCAAAGCCCTTACAGTGGCCTGCAAGTCCCCAACTTTGCCCCCAGTTCCTTGCATGTTTTCTCCTTTTACTCTCTACCTCTCTCACTCTGCACTGGTGACACTAATTGCATTTTGTTCCTGGAAGATATTGGGCATGGTGCAACCTCAGGGCCTTTGCACATGCTCTTTCCTTTGCCTGAAAAGCCCTGCCCAGATATCCCATGACTTCATTCCCCACTGTCTTCATTCAAGTCTTTCTTCAAATGCAGTCTTTTCAGTGAGGCCCACCCCAACCACACTATTGCTACACTTCCCACGTCTTCCTCCATAGCCTTTATCTTCTGGCCTACTGTGTCTTTTACCCAATTTATTGTGCCTATTGTCTGCCCTCCCCCACTAGCATATGAGCTCCATAAAGGCAGGGACTTTTATCCACCTTACCCACTGCTGTACCTCCAATGCCATGCTTAGCACATTAGTGCGCACTCAAATATTTTGCTGAATTAATGAACCTCTTCATTTGTAAAAAGGAAAAAATAGATCATTGAGTTTTTGAGAGGATTAGGATTCATGCACATAAATGTGTGATATGCAATAAGCTCTCAATAAAAGTTGGCTGTTCGAGCCGGCCCGTGGCTCACTCGGTAGAGTGCGGTGCTGAAAACACCAAGGCCCCGGGTTCGGATCCCATATAGGGATGGCCGATTCACTCACTGGGTGAGCGTGGTGCTGACAACACCAAGTCAAGGGTTAAGATCCCCTTACCGGTCATCTTTTTAAAAAAATAAAATAAAATAAAAAAATAAAAATAAATAAAAGTTGGCTGTTCTAGGGCTGGCCCGTGGCTTACTCGGGAGAGTGTGGTGCTGATAACCCCAAGGCCATAGGTCTGGATCCTATATAGGGATGGCCGGTTTGCTCACTGGCTCAGTGTGGTGCTGACAACACCAAGCCAAGGGTTGAGATCCCCTCACCGGTCATCTTTATAATAAAAAAAAAATAAAAATAAAAAAAATAAAAAATAATATAAAAGTTGGCTGTTCTTATCTCAAGCCTAAGAATCTGACTCGGACCAAAGACCACGCCCTTGAGGACAGAGTGAATTTGGCTGACATCTTCAGGAAGAACCATGTACAAACCAGATGCTCTCCCTGCTCTGGCTGCCTGGGCTATCTTCCCAGCACTCGGAACAGAGTGCTATATTCCTGGCTACAGTCTTTGTGATAAAGAGAGACGTTTGTACTAGAGAGCTAAATACGCAGCCTCTCGGATTCCCCAGAACTTCCAGTGGGTGATAAGGTAGTGTCAAAAACCACAGGACAGCTTCACTGGAATCCTAAGAAAACAAAACACAAAGCAAAACAAAAAATATCACAGGAATGAGTCTGGCCTTGAATGGGAATAAATAACTAAGCAGTGGGTAAGTCAGCAAGGTGTAGAACACTCTTTTTCAAAGTATGGGTTGTGGGCCGGCCCGCAGCTCACTCGGGAGAGTGCGGTGCTGATAACACCAAGGCCACGGGTTCGGATCCCATATAGGGATGGCTGGTTTGCTCACTGGCTGAGCGTGGTGCTGACAACACCAAGTCAAGGGTTAAGATCCCCTTACCGGTCATCTTTAAAAACAAAAAACAAACAAACAAACAAAAAAACTATGGATTGTCACCCAGGAGTAGCTGGTGAACAATTTAGTGGGTTGTCAATAACACCTTGTTAATGTCAGAAACTATTTGTGTATTGCAGAAAAGGGTGATAATTTAAAATTTTTTGTTTCACTTACACATGTGTGTGTGCTGGGTCCTAATGTATTTATAATTGACGCTCAGGGTAAAAAGTAGGTTCAAAAGCCACTGGGCTTTGGGAAATTAAGACATAAGCTCAGACCCAAGGTCCATCATCCCACACCCCCAGCTGCTAGGATCTGAGCTAGTCCTAACTTCTCTGAGCCTCAGTTTCCACAGTGCAGCTGAAATGAAAGTGCTACATGCTGAGTGCACAATACACTTGAAAGTCCCCGGTACTATGCCTACCCATAGGAGGTTTCCAGTGGTGTTTGTTAGTTCTGTCCCCCGACACTAGAGGGCTGATAACTATGTGGACTGTTTTAGGACAATATTCAACAAATTTTTACTGAGCTCCGATTCTGTGCCAGGGCCTGGTCTAAATGCTATGTTCTGTCAGGAGGAGACAATAAAACAAACACTACTACATGTTAGATGATGACTGTTCTGAAAAACATGTACATTGCATATGTTGCGGGGTGAGGGGACTCAACAGTGCCAAGCAATGTGGTTGGAGGGGGGTGGCTTAAATAGGGTGGCCTGGGCAGACCTCATTGAGGTAACATTTCAGCAGACTTGTCTTTCCTTGGAGGTAAAGGACTTAGTTACCTGTGGTCACATGTGGAAGGATGGGCAGAGGGTCAACCAGGACAAAAGGTCAAGGCCTTGAGGAGGAAGTGTGCTTAGCAGTTTCAAGGAACAGATGGAGCCCATGTGGCCACGGCAGAGGGAGCAAAGGAGTAAGGGGCAGTGAGAGAGGCATGGAGGGGCCAGATCCCAGAGGGCTGCTGCAAGGTCTTGGGCTTCGACTCCAAGTGGAAGAGGGAGCCACAGCAGTGTTGGACAGTGAGGTTAACATGAGCTGAGTTCCATATGAAAAGGTCACTCTTGCTGCTGCCTGGAAACAGCTATAAGAGGAAAGAGGTAGGAGGTGGGAGTCAGGGTCAACCCAGGGTGGTTGTGATGGAGATGGGGAAGGTGGTCAGTGTCCAGGAGGATTTCGAAGACAAAGTGACAGATGCAACATGTGTGACAGTGGATGTGAGGATGATGCCCCATTTGTGGCCTGGGAATCTGGAAGGAGGAGGCTGCCATCAACTCTGTGGAGCTTCTGAAGTGGACGAGCAGGGCAGGTGGCAGGTGGGGTGAGTCAAGGGGACAGCGTGTGGAGGGGCAGGAAACTGACTAGTCACACCCTCACCACTCCTAAGGGCCCTTCAAACAAAACAAAAAGATAGAAAAGGTCACCACCAAATTCTCAGAAGGCAAAACTAGGGTGGACGAGTCTGAGTCATTTACTTTTTAACTGGAAGATGAATGGTTTGGAGTTACAGAAATCTGTAAAGACATCACTCTAGATTTCTCCATCCTTAAAGATCAGTTATGCCATTTTTGCTTCTGAGAGCATCAGATTCCTTCCAAGAATAAGGAAGAACCCAGGGGCAGATTATTGTAGGAACTTCCCCCAAAGTAAAGGTCACTTCAAAATACAACCTGCAGGGCCGGCCTGTGGCTCACTTGGGAGAGTGTGGTGCTGATATCACCAAGGCCACGGGTTCGGATCCCATGTAGGGATGGCCGGTCAGCTCACTTGGGAAGAGTGTCGTGCTGACAACACCAAGTCCAGGGTTAAGATGCCCTTACCGGTCGGTCATCTTTTTTTTTTTCTTGTCCTTTTTGAGACCAGCCGCACCGCGCTCAGCCCGTGAGCGCTGTGAGCGCACCGGTCATCCCTATATAGGATCCGAACCCGCGGCGGGAGCGCTACAGCGTTCCCAGAGCCACACTCTCCCGAGTGCGCCACGGGCTTGGCCCAGTCGGTCAACTTTAAAGAAAAAAATACAACCTGCAGACGTGGCTCCCTCAAAGAGCAGTTTGCATGAAAACTGTAAACTGACGAGGCAGAGATCTCATAGAGGGTTTTCAACTAGGTTTTATTTTAGCTTCCAGTATTATCAGTAATGATACAGGAGTAATTCAGGCCAATACATCACCTTAAATACATCAGAGAGAAAACTCACTGTGTCAAGCATATCTTGCACTCCAGCAAATGAACACAAAAACAGAGAACAGAGTTAGCAGCATTAACTTAAAGTGCTTTTCGCCACACTTCTTTCAGAAAGGGTCTGTCAGTGTTATAAATTTAATTATTGTATAAGAAGCTCAAATTTTCATTTATTCCTCAGGGGCTACGTGGAAAAGATTCATGTTTAGCCTACATTTTTTTCAAAAAAGCTCAAAATTCACTGGAATCATGTGACACTGACTTCTCCTGACACACTGTGGGCACTCCCATTCATTCAAGTCCGGAACATCCAAACCCTCAGAACAGCCTCCTACCATTTATCAACCTTGGCAAAACCCATCACTTTGTCCCAACAACAAGGTAGACTGAGAGTTTGAAAGACAAGGGATACATGGAGAAGATGTCACCTGTGTGGCCACTCACCAGTGTGTACAGCTACCAAATCATTTCCCCAAAATGGGTGATGGCTGGATTCGAAACCCAGCAGGACAAAACTCCACCTCTCAGCTGAGCCTCTGCCTTGTGGGCTTCTTTCTGGAAGAAGTGTTGCTTGTTTCTAGGAAGCTCTCTGGCCTGCATTGCAAAGGCTCTGTCACCTCAACACTGATTTTCCCAGATAGTTAACACCTTGGTGACAGGAATCTGGACTTCACCAGTAACAATCCCAAAACTTAACAGGAAACATTTCTGAGTCAACATGAGGCCAAGCGTGTCAGTGGGAGGCTCTGGGGATCTGGGAGGATGGCAGGAGGACACTAGGTTTCCCATACTGTCTCTTGGCCAACTGCAGAGTCACTGGCACAGGAAACAGGACTGGTGGCCAAGGGCAGCTTGGGGCAAGGCGGGGGCAGGGGTAGAGATATGTCTCTTAAGAGGCCTAACAGGGACGCCATCAAGCAAGTGGGGTTCTCAGGCCCACAAGCTCCTCACAGAGCAGGCCAGAGGGCTCCACGTTCTCCAGCCATCTTGGGTGGGGCCAACTCACCTGAGCCTGCCACCAAGGTCCCCACCTTCTGCCATCCTTCCTTCCTTCTACATCCTTTATCCACCCAGACCAAATCATCTTCCACCAATAATAAAACAGGCCTACACAGGCCAAGGACTGAAACAAGGCAAGGGACACAATGGGGCAAGTCCCTCCCCATCCTGGTTGCCACCCTGCACACCCTGCCATACTGCTCTCCTCTGAGCTGCTCTCACAACTCCAGCTGCCTCTGCGTCTTTCCCACCCATAAGGCACACTAAGCCTCACCACCAAGACATGTCTGAAAGGTTCTGCAGATGGGATGAAACATTAAAGCTGGAAAGAACAAGTTGGGACAAGCCGCAAGACCTTCTGGGACAGACTTGGCCTTCCTAGAACTATTCCTGATGCTTCTGGAAAGACAATCCAGCCACCCCCTGACAATGCTTCTCTCTGCAGGGTGCTGGGGTGCAGGTATGCACGGGCCATAGGATGGTGGGAGTGTCTGCCTGATACCCTTGAAGGCTTCATCGGTGTTCTGCAATGCTGAGCTCCTGGGACCTTATCAAGCAATCAAGTGAACCCAATAAAGCAGAGAAAAGCCTCCACTTAATTCCGTGGTACCATGCTGTCCACAGTCGTTGTTTAAAAGTCTCCTTTAGGGGAACGAGCCAGAAGGTTTTCCTGCAACAGCAGGCAAAGGGAGGGGGAAATAACTAATGCTGAAGTGCTCAAAACTATGAGACAGTGGGTGCTTTCATTCTCTCGGTGGTGGCCTGGGACAAGGACCGCACGGGCCTGGGGGAGCCCATGTGGCACTGAGGGCTGGTGGTGCCGCCCCTTCTCCACCAGGCTCCGCTCCAGGCTGCCCACTATCTGCTGGGCTGCAGGTACTGATGTGTGAACATGTTGAGTTCGCTGTCCAACCAACCAGCTTTATTCCTGCAAAGAAATGTTTCTTTGTAACATGATAGCTGCCAACAGGTAGTATCAACACTATCTGCCAAGTACCATTTAAGGACACTTAACATGGAATCTCATTCAGTCCTTCAGTAACCCTATTGGCCCTCATTTTACAGATGAGGAAAAGGAGGCCTAGAGAGGCTAAGTAACTTCCCAAGGTCACACGGTTAGTAGGTGACGGAGCTGAGAGTCAGACTTTTCTGGCCCACAAGCGCTGTACCTGCTTCTCCTGGGACCATGGGCAAGTAAGCCCGGAACTGCTGGGGACTCAGTTTTCCTGCTTGTCAAGCGAGGGGTGGGGGCGCTAATTGAGGCCCTTTCCAGGTTCAGCCCTGTCCCTGTGGCTGACAAGCAGCAGAGACAGCCCCACTCTCCTCCCTGAGAGTGCCCAGTGGGTGAGCAACCTGTCCCTAGGAAATGCCCTAGGAAATGGCTGTCCCATGTGGTAGGTGGGGAGGGGCACATCTGCACATCAAGTCCACCCATCTGGTGAGGGGGCCGGAGCTGACACTCTTTGATGTATCTCCCCTCTGCAGGCCTCTGACGTCAAGGGCGGGGACAGGAAGTACAGGGACCCCACATGCTGATGTTATCGCTGGCGGGTGACTTTTGCAGAGCCCATTTACATTCAGCTCTGTGGCTGTGTCACGAGGTCTTACTCCCATTTTACAGATGAAAACAATGAGACACAGGAAAGTTAAATGATTTGGCCAAACATGAGTGGCTGCATAGAACCCAGGACTCCTGACTCCTGAGGATAATACTCTTCCCAGCAAACTGCTAATGGAAGCTCTGCATTTCACCAGAGATGCCACAGAGATCTGGGTTCTGATTCTGGCTGTGCCAGGCACCAGCTGAGTAACCAGCTTCCCTGTGGTGGGCATGGTGCTGTGCCCCCTACATGGGCTCAAACGGGTTGTGGGTGGTGGGGCTGGCACAATGCCAGGAGAATCAACGTGCAGAGTGTAGAGGCTGCTGCAGCCAAGCACACCTGGACTCCACTCCTCGCCTGACCACTAACGTTGGGATTCCAGAAAAGCTTAACTCCTGTACGTACCAACTTTCCTATGTATAAATGAGTGAACAACCCAACCCTCAAGGGATGCTGCACATTGAGTAACAGCACCTGAGGCACTGCAGTTCTGCAGAAGGTGCCTGTGCAGTGCAGTCTCTCAGTACTGTGACACTCGCTTCCTGTGATGTCACCATGCCGACTGCATGTGCCTTGAGGGCAGTGACACTTGCTGAGCCTCCAGTGCTGGCGCCTTCTGGCACCCAGCAAGTGTGGGGCAAGTACCTAACATGAGTGAGTGAGATAACCCCCCCCCCCCGAGGTCTGTGTCCACAGCCAAGCCACAGCCCAGCAGCTGAGCTCCAGTGCGCTTGCGCCACAACCCCTGCCTGGGCCGCCCGGGGCCGGCCTCACCTGAGCAGTTTTGCTCTGCCCTGAAGTGAGTCAAGAACCTCAATTTTCTTGTTCATAGTGGCAATTTCCTGCTCCAGGTTCTCCCGGGTGACGTCAACTTGCTGGCACAGATGAGCAAAGGTCCCAGACAGTTCCCTATGGGGAGAGAGGTGGGATCAACCAAAGCATGTGGCCTTTTAGGCAAGATGCCACTGGTAGCTAAATCTACCCAGAGCAGGACAGCAGCTGGGCCTGTCCGCAGCCCTGCTGGCAGCTCTGCCCTTCACCAGTCCTGGTTTGGCAGAATCTTTCCCATGCCCTGCTGAAACTGAATAATCATAACAAGCAAACACACTGAGCATGGCCACCATGTGAGAAGCAGTGACACAGAGCAGCGCTCCCAGTGTGGGTATAAGAAACCAGCATTCAGATTCCAGCCCTGCTGCTCATCAGCCAAGTGGAGAAGTGCCCTCAGTTTCCTCATTTTGAAAAAGGAGATGCCAATAAAGAACTTCTAACTCAAAGGGTCAGAGAAGCAAATGAAAAATTAGGGGCAAAATGCCTAGCAAAGGGTCTGCTGCACAGCAACAAAAAAAGAAAGCCAGCACATTCATCCCTCAACCCCAGATCCAGCAACAGATCCGCACCTGACCCAGGATGTGCCATGAATAGACACAGCTGCGCCTCAGCCCCAGCCTTTCAAGGCAACCTTTAACAATTCCTCCTAGGAATGCCCCTTGTCGTCCCATTTCCTCCTCCCCTGGGGGACCACAGGCCCACCTGGTCTCAACCCAGGACATAAGGAGCCCCTGAAAGACCCCTCTCCCCATCCCTGGCCTCGAAGCTGGCACTGCACAGCTGAAGGCCCAGGGTCCCCAATGCTCAAGATCCAGTGGCTTCCAGGCCAGATCGGAAGGAAGATAGCCAGTCCCCACCTAGAGGGAAGTCCCCGCTCAGGGCTGACAGGGCCACTCACTGCTGGACTTGGTGGCTGCAGTTGGAGCCAGTGTAGCTGATGATGAGCTGCAGCTTCTCGCTGGCATACTCCACAAACTGGCGCTTGAAGGCCCTCTCCTTGGCCTTGGTGGTCCAGGTCAGACGCTCGTAGACATAGAGGAGGCCATACAGCCCAAAGGAGAGGGCAATCAGCCGCCAGCCCACTGCCTTCCACACCTGCAGAGGCACACGGTCATCCCACAGAACGGCCTCTCTCACCCCACCCCCATCTTCTTGGGCCTCTCGCTGCCAAGACTGTCCTAAGAGCCCAGCCAAAGAGCCTTTGTTATTTCTACTCAGAGCCCCTCTTCCAATGTCTCCTTTGACCCCACCAAAATCAAAAGGCAGGGACCATCTCTAATTGGAAATAAGGGAAACTCAGCGTGGGCCACACGACATGACTTATACAAAGTGTGAGGGTCTGGACCAGAGCCCACATCTAGGCACGCAGAATTCTTCAAGATAACTGCTGGCGTGTTCTGAAGCAACACCCATTCTGACGACACTGACAAGCACAATCCCGCATAGCATTCCTCAGCAGACGGCTTCTTCGGGTCTGGGGTGCAATAGTGTGGTTGAGGGCAGTGTGTTACAGTCAAAGAGCCCTGGGCTTGAGATGGAAATTGAGGCTCTAATGCTGCCCATCATCCTGGCTGTGCGAGCTCAGGCAAGTTTCTTTATACTTGTTTCCTCATTCACAAAATGGGCATGATGGTCTGGGCCCAATTCCCAGGGTTGTCTGGGTAGGGCAAAATACTGCAGAAGGGCTACACAACCTTCCAGTGTCAGCGTCTCAGCTCATGACCCTCTGCCAGGTCACTGTCTGTGAAAAGAACCAGAGCATGTGCCACCTGCAGTTCAAGAGGGAGGGGGCCATGGCTCTGTCCCGCCTGAGTCCTACAAGCTGGGAATTTTTCTAACAGTTACACTCTGCCTTAGTGAGAAAATGCCCACACCATCAAGTTCTCACTAAGGCAGAGTGTAAGAGACTAAGAGACTCTTAAACACTCTGAGACTGAGGTGTAAATTACACTTAAGAGACTGAGGTATAAATGACTCTGGCTGCAGTGTGATGGCAATCAGGACATGAGAGCACCCCAGTCACCAGGAAGGCAGCCTGCTACCTCAGGCCTTGGGGTGGAAAGGAAAGGGCCTTAAAACCAGGAGATGGAGAGCCGAGGGTTCAAGGCCCAGCTTGGCCTCTTTGTGTCTTAAACCCTGGAAAGTTTTGCTCTGTTTCCTCACATACAAATGCAAAACTCCTGCTTTTCAAGTCCACCCCTCTAGGACTCAGGCTGTCAATGCCTCGGGTCACTTGGCCCCACAGGGTTCGCATCCTGGCTGTGTGTCTCTGGCAAGCCACCACAGATTTGCCCCATCTGGGAAATGGGAATGGTGCTATCTAAATGTCCTGTTAGTTGAGTGAGGCTTAAATAAGTCAACGTGTGTTACAGGGCTCGGGTGACACAGCTCCCCACGAGGTCACAGTGAAAAGTCATTGATAGATGAGAAAACACTCAGCTCAAAACGGAATCCCCAGTTCCCACCTGCCTGCCCTCCTTCCCCCCACCCTCCCGAGCAGGACTTGTCACTGACCACTCCTCCAACAACGAGAATGCCCATAGAGGTCCTGGACGTCAGGGAGGCCAGGCCAGTAACCATGGAAACCATGAGCTCCTCCTGGGTGAGTGAGCCCTGTGGCATGGGGGGCATGCTGGGGTTGGCTGGAGTCAGAGGCATAGGACGCTGAACCTGAAGAGAAACAACAAGAGGGGGAAGGAGGATGTGCCACGTCTCTCGTTCAAGCACACCCTCAGTGGTCCTCAAGGCTAAGGGAGCTGGGACAGGGGGTGGCTCTTCAATTTCCAAAGGGCAATAAGAGGGAAAAGGAGCTTTGTATGTAGCAGAAAAGGGTTTCACCTTCCTAAAAAACCTGCCATCATGGGACACCACAAAATGTAAGCAGTGGCCATCCTGGCATGCTTGACCAACGGGACATGGCATGTGGGACATGGACAAAGATCAGTACATGCAAAAGTGGTTTAGAGATGGATGTTTTTAAAAGTCTAAATTCTAAAATGGAGTATAGAGGGACATTTAAAAAGTCATCTATTTTTTTTTTTTTTTTTTTTTAAAAGATCAAAAGTGGTTTAGAGATGGATGTTTTTAAAAGTCTAAATTCTAAAATGGAGTATAGAGGGACATTTAAAAAGTCATCTATTTTTTTTTTTTTTTTTTTAAAAGATCAAAAGTGGTTTAGAGATGGATGTTTTTAAAAGTCTAAATTCTAAAATGGAGTATAGAGGGACATTTAAAAAGTCATCTATTTTTTTTTTTTTTTTTTTAAAAAATGACCGGTAAGGGGATCTTAACCCTTGACTTGGTGTTGTCTGCACCACGCTCAGCCAGTGAGCGAACCGGCCATCCCTATATGGGATCCGAACCCGGGGCCTTGGTGTTATCAGCACCGCACTCTCCCGAGTGAGCCACGGGCCGGCCCAAAAAGTCATCTATTTTTAACAGTTATTTACTTAATGTGTATTAGGAAAAAATATAGCTAGCATTTGTAATTTCACATACATTGTTGCTTAAGACAAGGCCAGGTTGATCTCTGGCAAAAATCTTGTCCACTGTGTGCCGTGTGGTAGCACGCACTGCCACAGCTGCTGACCTTAGGGAACCCCTGTTCTAGAATGGCTCACTTGTCTGGAGGGGGCTGCAGGGCTACAGACCGACCTCCCACTGATGCCCCTGAGGTGAGGAACTTTGCTGACCTGGTCATTGTAGCCCATCAAGGCCCGACGGCTGTTCTTGGGGCCCAGGAACCTATTCACCAGCATGGTCCATCCGAGAGAAAAATGGAACTCAATGTCCTCCTGAAAGTCAGCACACAGCTTGTCACAGTTCAGGTCGTAGCTGAGGGAGAAGCACTGTCGAGGGACCAGCATGTCTATCTGACTCCGCACAGATGCAGGAAGGAGGGGTTTCAAGCCGTCTATCAGGGACAGAAATGGGGAGAAAGCACATCAGCTCAGCCCTGTGTCACACCAGTGCTAAGTCTCAGGAATGAAGGCCATGCCAGCCACTGCCAAGGGTGCTGAACACTGCTGCCCAGAAACTACAGCCTGGACCAATTGGCCCGTGGGCCTGGGGTTGCCTCACTTGTGGTGGGCAGGCCAGCTGTCCCCGGGGTGTGCAGACTGAGGCTCCAATACCTGCCAACACTTGTGCCTCATGTGGATTTAAGGAGCAGGCCAAATTCTTGGCCTATGGTAGTCCCATGTGGTAATATAAGATGGGTTCCCCAAGTCCATATACAAAATGAATTCACAACATATACCCAAAACCTGAAGATATCGAGTTGAATCATCATAGAAGGTGACAGATAAGGAAAGGTCATTATTGCTTTAGATCAGCCTCCGTGTCTGATCTTTGGGCAGCCCCAGGTTCCAGGTTCCCCTGCAGCACTAACCTATCATGTCCTGCTGCATGGTCTGCAGGGAGCTGGTGATGGCCGTGGAGCAGCGGTCAGACATGTTTCGGCCCAGCCCTTCCTCTATGTGGCGGTGGAGTTCCTGCAATCAGAAGAGGGGGGTTAAGAGAAGAGACGCCCTCCACCGGGAGTTCCTTTGGCCCACACCCATCAGGTGCCCACAGACGGCCAAGGGAAGCCTGAGTCTTGCCTCCCTGGCTCCCACTTCCACTGCTGAGGGGCCCTGACAAATACCAGCAGGAGCTGAATGGCCGTCAGTGGCCCACGCTAAGAGTGCCTGCTGTCTCTTGACTCACATTTTTATAAACCTTGAGGACCACTGGAGAAGGGTGGAAGTCCATCTGGTACTCATCCACCAGCACAGAGAGGCGCCTGATCTCTTCAGCCATTGCAGTTGATACCTACGGCAAAGGAAGCATGCTACTGATTAGCAAGGAGGAATGTAGTTCAAGTCTGCAGCACCAGGAGAGACTAAGACTGTATAACCTTCCTCGCCAACCAGCAGTATCCTCAGCTGATCTATGGAATTAAAGGTCCTTCGAGCGGGAAGGACCTGAGAAATTAGCTGATCAAAAGTTCATGTGATACACAGTGGGGAAGAAACTTGCCCATGGTCATATAACAGGACGATGGAACCCAAGGGGAGGTTCTGTATCTTTGACTCAAGGCCACAACTTCCTTCTGGAAGGCTGAGAAGCCCTCCAAAGATGAGGATTTTGTTTCTTCACTTTTGCAACAGGCTGGCCTCTATTCTTGAGTCCAAATCTCCCCAAAGTGCTTTCTCTCCATTTCTCACCTGCCTTTCCACTTCCTCTGTGATCTGCTTAATTCGTAGTTTATAGTCTTGAGCCAAGAGTTCCAGCTGTTTGTCAATAAACCTCAGCCGCTCTTGCCGCTCCTCACGCATTTCCAGGCAATAAACCCTGAGAGCAAAGAGCACTGGCTAGAAGACCCACGTTCCCACCTGACTAAGCAGAGAAGCAAGACAGGATGCCAGAAGGCCCACATGGGCCCCACCTACCATCCCACCTGGGCCTTTCCCTTCCGAGGTAGGAGGGAGACACCATTTGGGGGTCAAGGTGGTGGTGACAGAGCAGGTAAGGTGCTTTAAGGGGGTTTAGAACAAGTTCTGCCAATTAATACAGGAAAAAAAAGTGCTCAACATCACTAGTAACCAGAGAAATGAAATGAAAAAGAGGTACTGCTTTCTACCCAGAAGCCTCGCAAAAATGACCAAGTCTGACGATCTGGTGAGAGGTGAGGAAGTGAGAGTTCCTACAGGTACTGCTGGTGGGTCAATGAACGGGAACAGCTGCTCTAGAGAGCAGCAAGATAAAATTCAGTGAAACTGAAAATGCACAAATACTCTGAGATGGAACGGCTGCACCTCTAGGAATCGATCCTAGAAAGACTCTTACAAATGTGCACAAGGGGACACATAAACAGATGTCCAATGTGGTAGGGTCTGCAAGAGTGCAAAAAAAAAAAAAAAAAAAAAAAAAAAAAAAAAAAAGAAAGAAAAGAAATCTAAAACTCAATGAATAGGAAAATAAGGCATATTCACAATGGAATACACTACAGCAATATTACTGTTCAAAAACTCAAACTACATGCAGCAACAAGGATAGAGAGAAAAATAATGTTGAACAGAAAGAAAAGCAAGGTGCAGTGACGTTCACAGTATGATACCATATCTGTACATTTAAAGCACACATGAAGAAACATAAATTAATCAGCATTTATGTAAAAAGCACTTTTTAAATGGGTGATAAGACTACAAAATTCACAATCACGATGCCTCTAAGGAATGGGCAGAGTGACACTGAGAAAGGGGTCAAAGAATCAAAGGGTACTTAACATTTTCTTCCATTTTATTTTAACTTAACATAAAGTGATCACTGTCAATTCCATGTAGTAGAAACAAGGTGTTTTCAAATTATTCTCTGTATGTTTCCATACAGAGAATTTCTCCCTAAAAAAATGTTTTCTGAAAAACATTTTCAGGCTCTGAGAATGGCTGCAGTGCTCAGCAGGGTGCAGCTATGCCTCCCACATGGGGACTACACCGCACAGGCCGGGGGGGCCACTAGGCACCCCTCCTCACCAGGCTGTCTATGTGGCTCTAACATGGTTGGGTGGCCAGGGGAAAGGGCCCTGGATGCGAGACCAGAGACTCAGCTCTGCCATCAAGAACCTGACCCTGGGCACATCCTCGCTGCTCTTACCGCTGCTCCTGAGCTGCGACGTGCAGAGAGTCCATGATGAGGCGAACTGCCTCTGCGATCTGCTTGGCCCGCACTGTGTGCTGCTCAAACTTGGTCTTCACGGCAGACTGGGAGATGCACTCCTGGAACAGACAGAGGCGCTGAGGGAGGTGGGGGCCACCGGAGGCTGACAGCCAAGAGCCAGGCTCTGGCTTTCACTGCTAGGGACACAACCAGTGAGAGACCTGGGGAGGCAGAGAATAGTCACATACCATAATCAAAGAACTCACCTCAAATCTCCTCTCGAAATTCTGAAACTCAAACATCCTTACTTGAAAGCCTTCTGCAAGAGCGCCCCCTAGGAGAACAGCACTGCATTAGTCTGGAAGCACCTCAGCACAGAGGAAGATGGTGAAATCCCCGAAGCCAAGGAGAGGGGCACTTGGCTAGAAACTGGCTGGAAGGCAAGAGCCTCTAACTCAAGGCTCTTCTCATCAGCTTGTCCTAAGGACAATTTTCTACTGACCAACTCAGCATGAAAGTAAACAACTCAGACCTCAGGGGAAAAAGGATGCGCGCTCCCCTCATTACCTCCCTCAGGCATGCCCTGGGCTTTCTGGATCCTGGCATTGAGCACCTCCTTGGCAGACACAAAGAAGATGCGGTCCCCGGCTTGGGCTCGATCCACCACGCCCAGCTCGTCCACCAGGAAGCTGGTACAACGCTCCATGTGCTGCCGCCGCACCTAGAACCCAAGCAGACAGCATATGTGACCTTGGTAGAGGTGATGGGGCCCTCCTGACGGAGCTCGCAGCCCCCTAGTACCTTTTCTTTCGCAAAAATAGGTAACATATTCACATGGTTCAATATTGAATATTCAGACGCACACACAGTGAAACATCTCCCATCATCTCTACTCTCTAGCCACCATGCTTCCCAGAACCAAGGTCATAGGGGTTCATTGGGGTACAGCCTGCCAAAAGTATTTTATGCACATACAAGCAGAAATGCTTAAACATGCCCCAAATTGCCTCTTGTTAGAACCTACACAGTGTCTCACTTTGGTGTCCCAGAAGGAAAGGAACCTGGCAGTAAAGAAACCTAAACCTGGTCTCTATTCTCTGACAAGCTAAGTTCTCCCAGGGCCTCGTTTATAAAAATGAGCGAGCACCACTAGAAAATTCCTCCTAACTCTGACTTCCTAGGGTTCTACTGATAGAACTTAAAACTTTAATGTGAAGTATGCATAAAACAAATGTACTTCACAGGGCCTGGTTTTCCAAAGCCTTGCAGTTTCATATATTGACCTTGCAAAGGACAGGAAATTTTCCTCAGGCTATATAGTCTCTGTTGTAAGATAAAAAATTGTAACACAGCAAGGTTGCTGGCTCAAAGACAGACAGGTTACTGAATGAAATGTAAAGATACTGGGAAATTGCTGTAAGAAGAGAATGCTGAAATCAAGCTTTTGTTAGTAGATCGACTTAATTTCATTATAGAATGTCACCTTACTGAATGTTACCAGCTTCTATTGTTAAACTTGTTAAACTGTACTTAGCAAAAACCCCACCTAGGTTCTCTTCCTGTAACTTCCTGGTCTGGAGAATAAATGTGGGAAGAGAACCCCAATTCATGGTTAATTTCCCAAATGGAAGGAATGCCTCGCTCGTGAGGGTTCCGGGAGATTAACCCTTTTTCAGGGCTTCTCACTGCTCAGAAGAGATGGGCTTTGAGTAATCTTTGGCAGCTCTATCACTCAGGGGAAAAGGGGTGACAAATCAGTGGGAGGCAAAGCAACACTTTAATTCTATTTTTCTATTTAAGAACTTTCCTGGATGTCTTCCTAAAGCAGAGCCTATTCCGTACTAATTCTTTATGAACCAAAATGAGCACTGGCCCCAAACAAAGATGTTCTAATGTGGTGGGGATGCTTTCAGATCTAAGGGACAGACACTTGAAGATGGGGTCCATCTAGGAAGGTGAATGGGAGAGGGGAACAGAGTGTCTTCAAAGCCATCAGAAGCCACCACAGGCAACACCTGGGAAATCTTTGGCAATGAAATTAATTTGGGGAAGTCACTAGATCTGATGTCACCTGGAAGTGCACGAAGCAGCCCTTGGAAGACCATGCTCACGTGGAGAGGTGTTCCCTAAACTGCCAAGCAGAGGTACCGACCTCCTCCATGTACTCGGGCTCTGAGGCGGATGCGTCCCAGCGGTTGTTCAGGATGAAGATGTTTGGGCGGGAGAGACGCTCGCTCACCTTGTGGAAGAACTGCTTTTCCTAGACAAAGAGCATGGCTTCAGTGGGGGAGGGGCCATGCCAGCCACAGCCCTGTGAGCCACTTTCCCCGCAGACGGGTGCTGGGAGCGTGGGAGAAGGCGGGGGCGGAGTTACCGTCTGCATCAGCGTGGACTCCGAGTTGGCCACCAGCACAAACACATCAGCGTCCAGGCAAAACTTGTCAATCCAGCTGTCTAGCTCTGTGGTGACATCAATACCAGGACTAAAGGGGACAGGGGTAAACCAACATTGTCAGGCACAGAGCGTGAGTCCAATTTTTTCTGTTATGAACAGTGCTGGGATTTGTGAGGCAGCCAGGCAAGGGAGGAGAAAGCCAGGGAGGGAGAGGAAACAGGCCCGGCCCTGCGTGCGGGGTGCAGGGTCCTTACTTTGCATTTTACATCCTTCCAATTTGCTGGAAATGTGTTTGGGTTTCTGGTTTTTTGTTTTTTAGCACTAGTATCTATCTCTTTTTTTTTTTTTCCTTTTTGTCTTTTTTCGTGACCGGCACCGGATCGCAACCCTCAGTGTCGCGCGCAACCCTCAGTGTCGCGCGCAACCCTCAGTGTCGCGCGCAACCCTCAGTGTCGCGGCCATACCGGACCGGGACCGGCAACGGGATCACAAGCCTCGGTGTTGCTCCCGCACCTCGCTCCGCCAGTGAGCGGCCGGTCCGCATGTGGGATCCGAACCCTCAGTGGGAGCGCTACCATGCTTCCCAAGCGGCGCACTGTAGCAGTGCGCCACCAGGCCGGCCCTTATCTATCACTTTTATAACGATGTAATGACTTGTAATTTTACTTTGCGGATATATAATTAAGGTGAATAACTGCATTTATGTGGGTCCAGAAAAATGCTACAGTACTATATTCCTTGGTACAGTGACCTGTCCACAAAGCAAGGGCAAAGTGTTCCTTCAAGAGAAATAAAGTACATCACTTACTCCACCACATCTTCCTCATTCCCACACACAAACTAGCACTGGGCTGAGGCTGAGAACCTCCCCACTTTCGAGCATCCCTCCTGTCTCTTTTACAGACCATCCCTGGGACATCTGCAGGGTACTGATGCCAGTGGATATAGTAACTAGACTCCAGAGGAAATCCAAGAGGCAGGAAGATTTGGTTGAGCCCAGGTGAAAGGCAGTAATACTTAAATAGAGTAAGGGCAGGGCTCAGGGGACTTTGGCCTGGGTTATCCAGAAATGGAAACCTGGTGCCTTTCCTCTTACCTGTCCATCAGCACGAGGTCATCCTTCAGAAGCGGGCACTTGGAATTGGGCCACATCACACTCACCAGGCTGCCAGCATGTAGCTGCTCGTCCTGATGGAGGGCATGGGCCAGCTGGTTCACAGTCTGATGGTAGAGGAGGGAAAGAGAAGTCAAGGAAGAGCCACATAGCCAGGAGATTTCCTGTGCCACTCAGCCACAGCACAGCAGCCCGGGACGCTGTCCCCTTTTCTTTCATTTCACATATTAAAAAGTTAAGAACTGGGAGTTGTCAATAAGAACCAACTTTCTTCACTCCTCTTTTAAGCTTCTTTTCTGGATGCTATCCTAAAACTGAGTCTGGTCTGCATTAATTCTTTACAAACCAAAACGAGCATCTGGCCCCAGACAAGAATGCAGCTGCCTCTCAGAAAAATAAGTGTGTCAGCCCCTACTGACGTGTCAGAATCACAGAGAAAATGCAGGACTCACTCTCTGAAAACATCCTAAGGAGAAACAAGTTAGGGAGTGAAGCGAGAGCCAGATAGCTCGCTCAGTGATACACACAGAACAGCAGAGTCCTCATTCTTGGTTCTCCGCATTTCCAACCCTCACAAAAGCCATCTCAAATCCTCCAGAAAGCTTGTCTGAAACAGGGTTTCCCATCTTCTACCACAGGGATACACTGCCTCGCCTGGGGGTGGGGTCAGCTCTGTCCCAATGGACCTGCTGCTTGGCCTGAGCCCAGCCTTGGCCGCAGGCGCCCTCACCTTGACACTCCTCTTCTCCTCCGAGCCCTCAGTGAGGAGAAAGGCCTCATGGCCATCTGTGCCCTCCACCCGCAGGAAGCAGTTGGTGGTGTGGCCGATCCCTGAGGGCAGAACTTTGTCCCAGAGCATGGCATTGATCACGGTGCTCTTCCCATTGCTCGTCCTGGGAGGAAATAACAGCTGTCAGAGAAGCCCCTGATATCGGCGGTTCTGGCCTTCACAATGCAGTCACCAGCCTGGAATCCACAGTCTCGTTCTCTGCAATGTCACCCGTGCCTGGACAGTGCTGAGAGAGGCACAGAGCAGGTGCTCTGTGTTCACTACAGTGGACGGACAAATGCCACTGGGCCCAAGCCTCTGATGTGCTCCCAGTTCATCACTTCAGACCTGTCTGCAGGGGCTTGCACAGGACAGTGCCTGCACACAGACACTTAGCCTGCCCCTGGAATGATCCAGCCACCTCTCAGCATCACCTATGGAGACTGCCAGTCTGTCTCCCAATTATAACCCACTCCTACCTGAAACCACTGACTCATGCCCAGGCATCTTCCTCTGTCTAAATACCTCAGCCAAATGGCCCCAGTGTCCTTAATTTCCGCCCAGGGCCTGTTTCGCTGCTCCTTTCCCATCACGCTCCCCTCATACCTGAAGCCCCACCTCGTCAGTAGAGGTGATAACTGCCAGGCTAAAGGGAAGATTACGTTGTCATCTTACCGGTCACATCCCTTCTCTACATTCTGGTCTTGAAAACAGCTATCCTCAGCAGACTCATCTGCTCTAGGTTTCAGAGCTCTCCACCTGTGCTAAACACAGCCTTTCTCTGAGGTGAAGCTTGCCAGCCACATCACTCACTTCAGAGCTACAAAGGCTTCACCTGCGTCCAATGAGACAGGCAGCGGCTAGCTCACCTGAGGGCCACACCTCCCAGGTGAGGATGAAGAAATGACAGCCCAGAGGAACTCAGGGTCATAACTGAGGTCAAAGGTCATTAGGGACAGGACTCTAGACACAATGCCTATTCCCTAGGCTACCACTGTGTGCCTAGCATCCAACCTGCCTAAGTGCCTTTTCCTCCTGTATTGGATTTTATTTTTTTATTTTTTTTATTTTTTATTTTTTTTGTCTTTTTCCGTGTCCGGCAACGGATCGCAACCCTCAGTGTTGCCCCCGTACCGGACCGGGGACCCGCAACGGGATCGCAACCCTCGGCGTCGCCCCCGCGCCTTGCTCAGCCAGTGAGCGGGAACTGGTCTGTGTGTGGGATCTGAACCCTTGGGCGGGAGCGCCGCCGCGCTTCCCAAGCGGCGCACTATCCAGTGCGCCACCGGGCCGGCCCCCTGTATTGGATTTTAATTTCTTAAAAGGTATCTACTAGACCTCAAAGTGTAACAAGAAGGAGAGCCAATGAACAAAACTATAAAACTCTTAGAAGAAAAAAGAGGGAAAAGCTTCATGACACTGGATTTGGCAATTATTTTATGGGTATAACACTAAAAGCACAGGCGAAAAAGTATAAGTACAGAAAAATTGGACATCAAAATAAAAACTGTGCACCAAAGGACATATCAACAGAGCACAAAGGCAACCTATGCAATGAAAGAATATATTTACAAATCATACTGACAAAAGATTAATATACATAATACATTTTAAAACTTCTACAATTCAACAACAAAAAATAACCTTATTAAGAAATGAAAAAAGGACTTGAGTAGATATTTCTCCTGAGAAGATATACAAATGGCAAATAAACACATGAAAAGATGCTCTGCATCACTGATCATTAACCACAATGAGATATCATCTCACACCCATGAGCGCCCACTATCAGCAACACAGAAAACGATCAGTGCTGTCAAGGATGTGGAGATATGGGAACCCCCATCACTGCTGGTGGGAATGTAAAATGGTGAGGCTGCTATGGAAAACAGCACAGTGGTTCCTCAAAAAATTAAAAATAAAATTACCACATATTCCAACAACTCCACTTCTGTGTATATATCCAAAAGAATCAAAAGCAGGGACTTGAGAGAGATTTGCACAACCATGTTCTTAGGAGCATTAATCACGATAGCCAAAGGTGGAAGCAAACCAAATGTCCACCAATAGATGAATGGATAATCAAAGTGTGGTATATACACACAATGGCAAATTACTCAACCTCAAGAAAGAACGAAATTCTAGGTTACCTCCCTTGGTTAGAGCACAGCGCTATAACACCAAGGTCAAGGGTTCGGATCCCCTTACCAGCCAGCCACGCACCCCCCCGCCCCGCCCCAAAAAGAAAGGAGATTCTGACACATGCTACAACATGAATGACAGAGACAGAAAACAATGGTGGGCTGGGGCAGAGGAGAATGGGGAGTTATTGTTTAATGGGACAGAGCTGCAGTTTTGCAAGGTGAAAAGCTCTGAGACTGGGAGTGCACAATGTGAATACACTTACTGCTGAACTACATACTGAAAAATGGTTAAGATGGTAAATTTTACGTTATGTGTATTTTATGACAAAAAATAAAATAAAAAGGAGAGTGATGAACTCTGAGGCACGCCAGCTGTTCCCTGCCTGGGGGTGCTCTGACTCTCTCCCTCCCTCGCAGCTAGGAAGAAAGGTGTGAGGGCTACAGGACTCACCGGCCAAAAAAAGCCACTTTCATGTGCCGCCGGGCCAGCACCTCGCTGATGCCCCTCACTTTGGATAGGTAACCTTTGACGTCCACAACCTGTTCTTCCGTTGTAACAGGGTCCAGTTCTGCATTCCTATAGGTGTCTGGAGGAGGGGATTGAAAATGGGTCACTGCGTGATCAGAGAAGTTCTACAATCCCAAGTCTAGAAGGGCCAGAGTGCTGGCCTTGCTCACTCGAATCACAAGTCCACCCTCTGTGGGTCCCTGCTGTCACTGGGCTGAAGCTCCAGATTCCCTACTGTGGCCTCATGGTGTGGCAATTAAGAATACAGCTTGGACGCAGGACTGCCTGGGTTCCAGTGCTGGTTCTCACCACTTCCTAGTTCTGTGACCTTAGGCAAATCAACCTTTCTGGGTCTTATTTTCCTCACCTGTAAAATGGAGATATTGATATCTACTTCAGGTGACCACTGCGAAGATCAAATGAATTAAAACACCAAGTGCTAAGAATGGTGCCTGTTATAAGATGCACTTGAATGGTAACTGCCATCCTTTACTAGTGTATTTCTTCTTAACAAATACTTACAAAGTTCCCACTACATGCCAGGCACTGTCCTAGTCACTTTTCAAACACAGTCTTATTTGATCCTTGTTATTTACATGGCAGAGCTGGGATTTGAACCAGGCAGGCTGTCTCTGGAGTCTGGGCTCCTGACCACTCTGTGTCTCTTCATGGAGTCCTTCCTGACGTGGCCCTGCTGGTCCTGCTTGTCCCTCCAGCTGAAGCTCTTGCCACCCCCTGCCTCTCACTCCCTTACATCCCCAAACTTGCCAGCTTCCTCACTTCTCTAGGCTCTGCTCACTGCTGCCCCAAACCCCACCCCACTCTCTGCAGAACTGATGCGCTGCCTAGGGGTGTCTGGCTCCTTCCCACTTGGCCTCAGGTCTAGGGCAGACGGCACAGCCCCCAGGAAGCCTTCTCCAACCACTCCCCACCCAACCTGCATTAGGTCCCCCTAGTAAATGGAACCACAGCATCCTGTACTTCTACCATCTGAGCACTTACCTCACCATAATGTAACTAGGTCACCTGCCCACGTCATATACCACAAGGACTGAACTACCTGATCCCAGCACCCAGCAGGTGCACAACTGTTTGCTAAGTGAGTAGATACTTGGATCACTGCATCGCTTTTTCCCAGTATCCCTGGCAGGCAGGTGGCTGACAAATCATTACAGGCAGGAGTCATTGAGCGAGATCCTGCCCCATCCCATCTAGCACTCGTGCCAGGCAGATGCTTCAGCTGGCTGGGAAGTAGAGGGTGTCTGGCCCCTCAGCACACTCTTGTGAACCACCAGGCTGACAGACCCCAGCCCTGAGAACACTTCCAAAGCATCCAGAACATGACAACTGGCATGTCAGAGAGACTGCCCAGTGAGCTAGTGCCATGAAAGGAAGTGACCAAGCCAACAAGCCCTCCTATGTCCACCAGTCACCCCAGCCACACAGCCATCAACATTTAACCCTTATATGGGCACCAGGGCATGGCCTTTGGAATGCCCCTTGGAGGAAACTGACTCTCAAGCATGTGGCAACATTTAAAAGCAACAGCCATAAGGCAGACAATCTCGTTATCTGCCCTTTATTGAACAGTCCCCAGGAGGGAACCATCCTCTCCCTGAGCTGGAGGAATCCCACACAGATCAGGATCACTCCAGCTCTTTCCCTTCCATTTAACCAATAGGGGAGGTGCCATGGATTGAATATCCCCCACAAACTCACTGAAGCTTCAGTTGTGTCCCCCAAAATTCCAGGTATTGGAAACTTGGCCCCTACTGTAACTGCTGAGGGTGGGAAATCCTATTACGGTAATTGAAAGGTGGGGCCTTGAAGAGGTGATTAGATTGTAGGACCATGCCATAGTGAATGGATTAATAATGGTGGTCAGGGGCGTGGTTCTGAAGACTAAAAGGACAGCACATGAGTGTCTCTCTCTCTGCTCTGCTATTTTCTGTCATGTGAGACCCCTGCATTGCTGTAAAGCCACCATCAAAGAAGACCCTCACCAGATGTGTTCCCTGGACTTTGGACTTTCCAGCCTCTGAAACTGTTAGCAATAAATTTCATTTTCTTACAAATCACCCAGTTCCAAGTATTTTGTTATAAGCAACAGAAAGGACTAATGCATAAAACTGGTACTAGAGAAGTGGGGTGTTGCTTACAACAAATACTTGAAAATGTGGACACGGCTTTAGAACTGGGTGTTGAGAGGCTAGAAGAATTTGGAGGAACGGAGTAGGAAAAGCCTAGTTCCTGGTGGGAGTTCAGAAGACAAGGAAACTAGGGAAAGTGTGGAACTTGGTGAGAAGGGACTTATTGGAAACTGAGGCAAAGATCATCCTCGCTATGAACTCGCAAGGAAATTGGCTGCATTCTGTTCATGCCCCAAAGTTTTAAGGAATGTGGGATTTCAGGATGCTGACCCAGGGATTTGGTGGAAGAAATTTCTAAGCAGCAAAGCATTAAGGAGGCTGCATGGCTACTTATAACAGCCTATGCTGAGTTATGGCATAAAAGGCATGACATAAAGCCAGAATTTATTATTAGAAGGAAAGGAGAGTGTAAAGATTTGGAAAATTTGCAGCCTGGCTATGTAGTAGAGAAGCAGAGAGTATTTTCAGAAGAAAAATGCAATGGTGCTAAGAAGATTAGTACAAAAGAAAGGGATTTCCATCAAGAGAAGGGGAAAAAGGCCCTGGAGGCATTGCAGAAGCCTCTGGGGCCAACCCTTCCATTACAGGCCCAGAGGCCTAGGGAGACAGAATGGTCTTCGGGAACAAGCCTGAGGCTGTTCAGGGCCACCTCATGAAACTGCTTCTAGCATCAGCATCCCAGCTGCTTTGGTTGCTCCAGCCATGGCTAAATTGGCCCCAGGCGTGGCTGGACCCGCAGCTTTAGAAAATACAAGCCAGAAGCTTTGGTGGTTCCCATGTGGTATTAGGTCTGCAGGTTCGCAGAATGCTACAGTTGTGGAGGCTTGGGAGCCTCCACCCCAATTTCAAAGGATGTATGGAAAAGTCTGGGGGCCCAGGAAGAGATTTATCACAGGGGCAGATTCACCGCATAGAGCCTTTACTAGAACAATGCCGAACAGAAACTTGGGGTAGGAGTTATAGCAGAGAAAACCCATCAGTGCCATGCCTAGTGGAGCCGTGAGAGCAGGACCACCATGGAGACCCCAGATCTGTAGAGCTACCAGCATGCAATGCCAACATGCAAGAGCTAAAGCATCACCTGAGACCAGGAAAGCCATAGTGCAGAGCTGCCTGAGGACATGGGGACACAACCCCCACCCAGTGTGCAGAGGATGTCAGACATGAAGTCAAGATACGTGATTCACCAGCTTTGAGATTTAATGTCTGTCCTGCTGGGTTTCAGATTTGTTTAGAACCTGTTACCCCTTTTTTGGCCTATTTCTCCCTTTTTGAATGGGAATATGTACCCTATGTTTGTCCCACCATTGCATCTAGGAAGTAGGTGACTTGTTTTGATTTCACAGAGGGGACTCTGGACTTTGGATCTCTGAGTTGAAACAAGTTAAGACTTTGGGGACAAAATGAATGTATGTGAAAAAGACATGAGTTTTGGGGGGCCTGAGGGCAGAATGCTTGGATTGAATGTCCCCTCCCAAACTCACTGAAGCCTCAATTGTGTTCTCCAAAGTTCCTGAAAGGTGGGGCCTTGAAGAGATGATTTGATTGTAGGACCATGCCACAGTGAATGGATTAATAATGTGGTCAGGGGCGTGGTTCTGAGGGCTTTAAAAGGAGAGCATGTAAAAGTCTCTCTCTGCTCTCCCATTTTCTGCCATGTGAGACCCCTGCATTGCTGTAAAGCCATCACCAAGACCCTCACCAGATGTGTTCTGTGGACTTTGGACTTTCCAGCCTCTGAAACTATAAGCAATACATTTTTTTCTTACAAATTACCCAGTTCCAAGTATTTTGTTATAAAAAACAGAAACATACTAATACAGGAGGTTTCACATTTTCACAAGAGGAGAAATCAAAACACCCATCGCATAAACACCTTCATTAAGTATGTGTTCATCCTCAGCATCATCTGAGTAAGTGACTCAGAGCATCTGAATAAGTGACCAGAGGATTAGTCTGTGCTCTGGAAGGGCAGAGGCCTGGTCTGCCCCTTCTCTGTATGCCCAGTGTCGGGCACAGGGTAGGCACACCAGAGCTACTGCTAAATAAACTGGTAATGAATTGGAATCTCTGAATCTCTGCAGAGAACTGGAATTGCATTTCTGCACAGACGAGAGCTATGGCTAAATAAACATATAAAGAATCGGAATAATTTCAACCACCAACCATACGACTTTAAAATTTAGATTTTTGGGAGTGGAAGCAGGTGGCTGCCGGAACAGGGATCCAAACCCTTGATCTTGGTGTTATAACACCATGCTCTAACCAACTGAGCTAACCAGCCAGCCCGAGTTTTTTAATTCAACAAATATTTAGGGGATACCTTCTCTTGCATCAACTACCATGCAAAGGGCAAGGCACAGATAGGAGAAGGAAACTGAACACAGTCTCTTTCTTTAAAGGGAACCTCATGGAGCAGCCTGGCATGTAAACAATGAGAAGCCACACTGCTCTAGTTATAAGCAGAATGGAGAGAAGGTAGCCCATTGAGTCAGGAGCTAAGCCCTGGGCCATCTCCTCTGAACGGCTAGGCTCTACAGACCAAAATCTGAAAATCCCTGGTGTTGGGAAAATATAGGAAAAATGGTCAGGGCCCCTCAGATGTTCAGAATCTTGCCAAGCATTTGATGTAAATAGGCATATGCACTCAGGTGTTCCTTGGCTATCGTCTAGAGTAATTGCGCATGTGCACCCAGGTGTCCTGGGTTATGGACTTAAGTATAATGATCAGTGACTGAGCCACAGTGCCTCCCAGTCCCGGGATGCCCCTACTGCTGCTGGAGGCTGCTGCTGCTGCTAGTGCCCCCAGGACCCTCTGTGGGGCCCCTGCCACTGCTGGACCTGTAAGCTGCAGCCGCTGAGGAAGCTGAGGACTGAGCTCATGTCATCTGCCAACAGCTCCTGGAATCTTTCCCAATTACCTAGCATGGACCTGCGTGTGAGGCGTCTGGGGACTCAGTCTGTACAATGGGTTTGGAGGGTCTAAGCCCTAGCTCTAACAACATAAATGGAAACCGTATAACTAAAATAATGAAACATTTTGGCTTTAGTTATGATTTACCTTACTTTACACCTGGTCTCACCTGAGCCCCTCTTTCACAAATCAGGAAACCAAGGACAGGTAAGACTCAGCCAATGGGTCTTCACACAGACAATCCTAGGACCTGGAGCCAAGGTGCCCTTCTAGAGAGAAAACCTGAGAAAATCAGCAGCTGGAGTTGGTGCTCAGACCGAGTGGGGCCCTGGGAACTAGGTCTTCTTTACTGACAGATGAGGGACTAGAGGCTGGGCTTAAATTAGTACTAGCAGAAAGGGCACAGATGATGCAAGTTTCCTATTCACAGTATTGTCACCAATCTAAAAATATCAAAGAGAGGGCACCCTAGTCAGGGATAACCAACACCCAGACAGTGCTGGTAGTAATGGCAGCCAGAACCAGGCCAGGGAAAACACATGGCTCTGAAGTTGAAGACACCTGGGTTTAAAGCCCAACTCTGCCACTTATAAGGTATAAGACAACTATCAAACCACGGGACTGGCTGGTTAGCTCACCTGGTTAGAGCATGGTACTGGTAACATCAAGGTCAAGAGTTCAGATCCCCCTACCAGCCAGCCACACCAAACAAACAAACATCCAATCTGCTTGCCTTTTGAATGGTGATAAGATTCACCTACCCCTCATGATTAAATGAAACAAAAAATATGTGGAATTGTTAAATGAATTCTTAAATGGTAGTTCACCTGTCTTTCCTGAGCTAATCTCCCCAGAACCCAATTCCAGATGATTCCGAGAAGACCAAAGCATCACTGAGGGTAACAACTCGTCTAGGCAGGAGTTCCCCAAGAGCAGGGCTGTACCTCCCTACTCCCAGATCCCACTATCTAAATATTGAAATGGATAAGCGTGGGTCAGGTGCTTGTCTCACCTTCGAGGAAGGTGGCGCTCTCCTGGATGTAGGCTCCCAGCTGCTCAAAAATGCCATTGATCTTCTTCTTGGCAGTGACAAAGTGCTTGAGTGGGGAAGCATTCACCTCAGCCATGTGTCTCTTATCCTTCTTAACTGTGACGATGGAGTTGCATCGAGAGAAGAGCAGGGACATTGCGCTGCGAGAGAAGACAATGTGAGTGAACCTAGGAACACCCACCTTGGGGCATTCTTCTAGGGGTTTGGCAGAGAATGGTGGGGAGAGCTAGGACCAGCTCTAGGTCACCAAGAATTTGGGGCTCTGCGGGACTAGATCAAGGAGTGGCGAGATAAGAACCAGCATCTTGAGAGTAAGAAGGGACCTCTCAGGACACTTAAGCCAGTCTCCCTGTCACACAGTGTGAGCACTCAGATGCCTGGAGCCAGGGGCCTGAGTTCAGGCCTACCACCTATTGAGTAGTGACAGGCCCTGTCTTCCCCAGCAGAGAGAGATGGGGAGGAATCGTGAGATGACACACAGAGAAACCCTCCTCTGGGTCTTAGACAGGAAAATGTGACAGAATCTGACTTATTTCCTATACATTGTCCACCTACGTAACAGCGTTGAATGGTGAAAGCAGTGGAAGCAAAGAGATGCTCAAGGCAGTGCCTCCCACCCCCATCCCTGGCCATTCTGCTGTCCAGGAGCCCAACGGCCCTAATTACCAACAGGATTTATTTGGGGGAAGGGAGGATGAAAAGGACAAGACAGTGTGATACTCAAGTGAAAGTACTTTTACAACTTATTCAAAAGATATTTACTGGTCTTTTAGTATAACCTACATGCACTGTAGAAAATTTGGAAACTAAAGGAAAAAAATCCATAACCTCATCATTTTGTGATAAGCACTATTAACGTTTCGTTTATTATCACAGTATTTTTGTGTGGCTCTCTCTTGCTCTCACTCAATCACACACATTGGTGTAACCTATTTTTTTCACATAGCAGTAACATGTCAGGGGCTAGGTGACTTGACTCCAAAGTCCTAGAGGTCCCTGGTCAAAGGTCAAAAGAGGCAGATATACCAGAGAAGATGGCACCTGGGTGTGGCTGGGAACCCCTGACCCCAAAAGTGGACCTTTGCCATGTCCCTCCTCATAGTTCCCACCACGAGAGCACTACTTCCCCAGCAGAGCCTCAGATCCTGGGAAGTCAAAGAGAAAAGGCCCCTCCAGGGAGGAGGGCAGCATGAGCAGCTGTGTGTGCCTGGCTCTGCCACTCTCTCCTCAGCCTCCGAATCAGTGTGACCAGCCCTCCAACCCAGCAGCACCTGACTTGCTCTAGCTGGGAAATGAGAGGTGTTGCTCATGAGCACACACAGGAAACTTCTAAACGGTGCCAAAGGGTGTGGAACAGGTCCTGAGAAGCAGAAAGAACATCTGGAAAAAGCACACGAAGACTGACTGCCAAAACTGGCTCTTAGGAACGTTATATCCCCAAGTGTGGATGGACAGACAGAGAGACCCACAGGGACATGAGCCCCACATGTGTTGCCCAAATCTACAAATTCTTCTGAAATGTTAATGATTCCTTAGGAGATGAGGGAAGGAAGTGACCCTATTTCCTTTCTACCTTCCTCCTCAGTATCACACCACAGCTATAAGTTTTCTCAGCATGGAGGCCATGTGTCAAGGGCTTAAGTACAAAAGACAGCACAACTCTGAGTAAGGGAATTGGAAATAAAATGGCACTCAGGCTCCTCCTCAGCAGAAAAGGAAAGTGCACTGCAGTCAGGCTTACCGTGGTCCAGAGGTACGACTCTTAGAGAAAAAGGGGATGTGGGCAGGCAGAGAGGAAAGCCACCCAAAAGGACAAGAAACAGGGTGTTGGGGCAGGACACAGGGCTGCACATGACAGACTCTGGATTAGGCAAAGCTGGGTTCAGATCGTGCTTGTACTATTTCCGGTGGTATAAACTTAAGCAAGTTATTTAGTCTCAGAACTTTGGTTTTTCCATGTGTACAAGAAAGATACCACATAAACTGCAAGACTAAAGATGACAATGCAAATAAGAGCTCAAAGGTAGCTTTACAAGTGATACAGCAACTACAACAACAAATTCTATCAGCAAGATCAAAAAACTCTTCCCACAAACACCCGGCCTTCAGGGAAGGGCAGAGGTAACTCCACCAACACACCCACTGCTCCCCCACCCAGTGTCATGGAGATCGAATAAACAGCTCTGCTCCAGGGAGGTACAGCAGTGCCCAGCTCCAGCAGTGACTTATTTGCAAAAAGCAAGTTCCCTGATATCCGCTGGACTTTTAGAAGCAGGCGCATTTAAGTTCTGGTCACTGTGTGCAAGCCCAAAGGATATGAAACCAAAAGCGTTAGTGTTCAGCAAGTGCAAGATTCAAAGGCACGCACACTAGCAAAAGCTTAGAGGTTACAAGGGCTGCTGGGCCCACGAGCTGCTTTGCTTCACCACTGTCCAGCCTGCAGCTTCAGGACCCAAATCCCCTGCAGAAAACCTGGCCCCAAGCCCTCCAAACTCTGATTCCGCTGGCTCTGCAAATTCCCAAGATGAGGCTCCATGTTTGTGTAACACATGCTGCTTTCTGCCTAGATCCCTGTTTCATTTTTCACCCATTTGGCATACTCCTATTGTCCTTCTAGACCCAGCTCAAGTGTCACCCCTCCATGAAGCCTTCCCTGACATCTCCATAGAGGATGTGCAACCTTACCAGACTTCTGTTTCTTTATCACATCCTGTGTTCCCGCCTAGGTTCTGAGCTTCTAGAGAGCCAGTCTTGACACAGAGCAGTAACCTCTTTCTATTATTACCTCCCTCCTCCAGGACTGTGAGATATGGGATGGGTAAGAGAATACCCCCTGCGGGGGTTCCATCACACACCGTCCATCCCTAGATACATAAATCCACTTCTTTTTGTTTTGTTTTTTGGCGGCTGGCCAGTATGGAGATCCAAACCCTCAACCCCACAAATCCAAGTATTTCTTAAAAAGCAGCTTTCGGCTAAGCATCTGCTTCTCAGTATCTGGAGCTCAGTGAGTCGAGAGTCAAACAAGTCTTTCAGATTCTGAAACTTAATTCTTCCAAAAAGCAAACTGGACATACATATGTGCACAAAAGGACTGAAATTGCAAAATACATGCACAGAAGACAAGACAGAGCCCCCACTATCTCAGGGCTTTGCCTGCTGGCTCCCTAATCTCCCAGAGTGGTGGGAGGCAGTGGAGTTCCTGTTCCTCCTCTAGAAAGCCCTGATAGTCCCTACTTCACCACAGGGCTCGCCGCAGGCATGCAGGGCCTGAGAGTCCAGCTTCAGTATCAGTTACACACCAAGCAGCACACTTTGAGCTTCTGTGACTGCCTCAAAGTCTCTTGAGATCATAGTTTCAGCACCATTTCTCAAAGTGTGGCCCACAGAAATCTAGTTACACCCAGTGTTCCACGTGAAAAGCATTCCATAGTAGAATCAATTTGTAAAACACCATATGCTACCATCCCCTCCACTGGAGCATGTGAGCATAGTAAAGGCTTTGGGAAGGAAGACCAATTTAACTGTATTTAATGCAGCACTTCACAAATTTTTTTTTTTTTTCAAAAAGATGACCAGTAAGGGGATCTTAACCCTTGACTTGGTGTTGTCAGCACCACGCTCAGCCAGTGAGCTAACCAGCCATCCCTATATGGGATCCGAACCCGTGGCCTTGGTGTTATCAGCACCGCACTCTCCCGAGTGAGCCACAGGCCGGCCCCAGCACTTCACAAATTTATTCAACGAAGAACCGATCCGAACCCGTGGCCTTGGTGTTATCAGCACCGCACTCTCCCGAGTGAGCCACAGGCCGGCCCCAGCACTTCACAAATTTATTCAACGAAGAACCGATCCGAACCCGTGGCCTTGGTGTTATCAGCACCGCACTCTCCCGAGTGAGCCACAGGCCGGCCCCAGCACTTCACAAATTTATTCAACGAAGAAACCCTTCTGTGTTATAGTCTTTAAAATCCCAAGGATCACACTTTAGGGAAAAGCACATTCATCCTGGTAGTCTCCTACTCTCACTCCAACAAAGTGCCAGGGGCACAGTATTAACAGACATTAACATAAGACCAGAAACAAGCCCAATTCTAAACCCCTGGTGATCAAAAGCTTTGCCTCAACCTAGGCTATTAGTTGAGAAGTATTAGGTATCTTGGGTGTGGGAATAGCAGTAGCAAAATTCACTGTAAGCTGTGTTTGGGTCCCAAGCAGTCCCTGAATCCACACCACCTCCTTACCCAGTTTTATGCAGAGCAACTCCTAGCAGAGAAAATAAAATGGATCCACGGATCGTCTGTTGGCACAACTGGAACAGAGGAGAAGCTGAGAAATTGAAACAAAACAGTGTACAGGATAAAGGAGGCAGAGTAGACTCTAAGAAGAGCTATGATAAGGAGCCAACTTCTGCTGGGCAGAAAGGGGGAGAAGAGCCAGCACAGCAGAGAAGAACAAACAAGGGAGACAGAGACTAATTCTTCACAGAGCCCAGGAGATTCCAGCCACTTTCTGAATTATCAGCCTTTACACGGTCTCTCCCAGTAGCCAGTGCAATCCTCAATGGAAGTAGAAAGGAGATACAGTAGTTTTTTTTCCAACACAGGTTGGAAAGCTCTGGCTCTATGCAAAGAGGACCTTGTCCAAGAGACCTGCCACCGGAGGGCCAGCAGAGCATGTCCCTTTCCACTCAATCCAGGTCGCCAGAAGTTGCAGCTACCACTTACTTTTTGGATGGTGAGAGATCTTCACAGGGTGGGCATCATGGACACTCTGGAGTCAAAGATGGAGAAGAATTTGAGTTCTCTGTCCTGTCTCAGGTTGAGGTTGGCTACTGATTGTGTTGACTCCACCAGTCCCAACTTATTGGAAAAGAAAAGGGAGCTGTCAACAGGTAGGGAAAAAAACTGATGTGCAAAACTTGTCTAATCAGGTTTTAAAGCAAAACAAACTTATCCCTGAGGGCAGCTTACTCATTGAGGTACTGGGGATCTGGGCTGGCATATGAAGAAGTGCCTTGGGGACAAACACAAGATCTACAGGTGTGAGGCCAATCCTCAATGTGCACAAACATGTGTTCAGCCATGTGCTGGATCCAGGCACCCCCGCAGGGCCCCTAGTAAAGGCATATCCAGAGGAGGGAGCCCAACCAGAACAAAGACTGGGTTTGAGGACTGCGGAAGTGCTGGCTAGAGATGGGCGGGGTGGAGGTGAGGAAGAGAAGTGAAATGGATTGAAAGTCAGTGAGTGCCAGCTGCTGTAAAGTATCTCTGTTCTCAACTCTAAAGGGAAAACAGAGGCTTGGAATACTTGGAAGATTTACAGACTGCCAGTCAAGTGGCCGGCTGGGAACTAAGATACCAGCTCTGTTTGACTCCAAAACTCACTTCTTTTCAGTTTTATGGAGCTGCCTTCCTCCCCACCCCGCCCCCACTTTAGTGGGGGGAAGGGGATAATCAGAGCCCTTTTCGGGATTAGAGAGAGAGAGAGAGATAACTGAGAATATAAAGAAACAGGGCAACTGCCTTCGTGCACCCAGACAGCTACTTATTCAGCATCTTCCTGTGTGCCTTCTGTGTGTGTGTTAGGGGCTAGGGTTAGGGATGGATAAGAAATAGCTCCTGCCCTCAAGGGTCTTATAGTTCTGAGCAAAGTCATACAAACAAGCAGACTTGCACGAGGGGGCAATAAGCGCCCGAAGTGAGGGCGGGCAGGGCGCTCCGAAGGTGAACGTGGGAACCTACCTATCACGCGCAGAGTAAATGCCGGCCAAATGAAGAGGACCGGGCGGAAAACGGGTAGAAGACGGGTGGAACGTGGCCGTGGAAGGTGGGAAGGCGGAGGCCGTGAGGAGCCTCAGGGGCCCCGACCCCCCAGTCCTCGGTCTGGGGTCCCGCGTTCCGCCCCCTCCTGTCAGGGCCGCGGAGCGCCCGGCGGCAAGACCCGAGCGTGGTGACGCCCACCTGACCGGATCTCCAACCCACGGGGCCCCAGCGTCCCACCGGCCCACGCCGGCCTGCGCAGGGCTCTCCGGGCCGGTCCCCGCCACCCCAGCGCGCTCGCCCTCTCACCTTCACCTTCCCGGCCTCGCGGCGGCCATCACACCCACGACGTCACCAACGAGCGCCAGCCCAGAGAGAGGCGGGAGGAGGAAGGGGATGCACCCGTCACCCGCAGCTCGGCCCGGGTGAGGTGTACTCCGAGCTCAGCCGGTTCGACTTTATTATCCCTTACGCCTCAGAAGTCCCGCGTCTCCGCGCCTCGAGAGGCGCCTCAGCGCGCTCGTTTACCGCGGGGCGTCCCAAGCCGATGACATCAGCCTCGGGCCTCGCGCTGCATTCTGGGGGCTGTAGTTCCGGTGGGCGGGGCGGGGCCTCGAGCTGTCAAGGGGCAAAAAACCAAGGGTGTGGATTAGATGTTCCGGCTCTTCTTTCGTTGGTTACCCCAGAGCGTGACCCCAGGGCCTCTGCCACCTCTGGAATCCAGATTTGCTCTTGGCAACTTTAGAGAAACCCTCTCCAGAGGATTATTAGGGTTTAGGGTGAACTGACTCAATTCAGGAAGACAGAGGCAAGCGTGGGCCTACCGCCCGCCCTTCAATTGCCTTTGAGGAGGTGAGAAGAGCAGCAACTTCGCATCAGGCTCCTACTAAGTGCCGGTCACGGCACCGGTAGCCAACATACAGCGTTTTATTCCATCTCCACGGCGGCCTCAGGAGGCTCAGGGGAGATCACCTAAACTCAGATGTCAGACCACTGGGCCCCTCATTATGTGCCAGGCACTGGGATACGGCAGTAAACAAGTTGCCTGCAGGACTCAGCCTCAGCAGGGAAAGCTCCAAGCCTGAGCTCTCCAATATGGTAGCCACCAGCCACGTGTGACTACTGAGCCTCTGAAATGCAGCTAGTGCAAATTGAAATGTGTTGTAGGACTTAGTACGAAAAAGAATGTAAACTCTCTCATTAATTTTTTAATATTGATGACGTGTTGGAGTGATAATATTTTGGATAAACTGAGTTAAAATATATTATCTAAATTAACTGCACCTGTTTCTTCTTGCTTTTTCAAATGTGGCTGCTAGAAAATTTAAAATTACTTAAGTGACTCACATTGGATTTCTACTGGATTACATTGCTTTATAACCATGGTAGAAAATTGCCACACATATCTCAAGAAGTAAATCATTATTACTCTAGTGGCTTATCAGTTTCCCGTGAGGTTGATCAGAGGGAGCTGTCCCACTCTCCCTACCCTCTGAGCAGCCTAGTGTCCTGAGAATCTGACTCTAGACTGTGGGCCCGCACTCAGTCCCTGCCTCGGGGTGTGGTCAGGCCTCTGTCTGGGATGTGGCACTCACTGGGGCCTCAGTTACTAGCTGGCTTGTACTGTTGCTATCTGATTGCTTCCTCCTCCACTCTCTCTGGCCTCCCCAAGGGGACTGTCAATTCTCTGAAGGCAGGAACTATGAATTCTATTTCCTTCCTCTTCTTTGACAGAATCTTGCCCAAGTTGGGTGGAGGTCTGGAGTTTCCTCCTTCTATCTCTCCGATCCATTCCCTCCTCTTCACTAAACCTCCCTGCAAGCCTTGGCCCAGGCCTTCGTCACTTGTCTTGACAGCCACAGGACCCTCTGAATCCATTCCCAGGCTTCTAGCCTTGCTCTCTGCCCAGCACTGGGTTTTCTCTCAGAAACACAGCTCCAAACTGTGAGGCCCTTGCTTCAACCCCCTCGATGACAAGACTCTCCCCAGTACTGCTGACCATGTTACTGGGAAGGGATGTAGGAAACTGTTCTTTTTTACATCACCTGTTCCTATTTTGATCGACTTTTTCATGATGGACACAAATTGTGTTCAATAAAAAGAAGGTAACAGTTAAAAACAACCATAAGACACACACAGACACACACTTACATGCTTGTGTATGCACAGACCAGCTCAAGAACCACCACCAAGAAACAGAGTAGCCATGGTGGCTTCTGTTTTGTTTTGGTTTGGTTTTTGGCAGCTGGCCAATAAGGAGATCCTTGGTGTTATCAACAATGTGCTCTAACCAACTGAACTAACTGGCCAGCTATGGTGGCTTCTGGAGAGAGGAACAGAGTGGCTGGGGATGAGGGATGAGAGAGAGCTTCAGATTTGCGGCGTTTGAATTTACCATGAGCCAATTTTAAAAACTAAAAAACTTAAAAATCTTTAAAAGGCATACACACAACCCTTAAATGACTCCAGTCACCTCCCAAACTCCATAGCATGGGAAAATAGGCCTTTACAATCTTACCCCACTCCCACCCCACAAACTCCAGCCAACCTGCAATTGCTGGATCTGGAATGTGCCTCTGCCTGTTGGAAACCTCCTCCCCTCCAAGGCCCAGATTAAATGGCATCCGCTATTAGGCTTTCTCAGCCTCGGCACTGCTGACGTTTTGGGCTGGGTAGCTCTTTTTTTGGTGGGGGGAGCTGTCTTGTGCATTGTAGGATGTTTAGGATCATCCCTGGCCTCCACATACTAGATGCTGGTAGTGTTCTCTCCTCCCCAGTTGCGACAACCAAAAACTGTTTCAGACGTTGCCACATGTTCCCTGGGGGATGAAGTCACCCTCAGTTGAGGAGCACTGAGTTCCATAAGCCAGCTGCCCCCTCAGCTGCCACCCTACTTTGTTCTTACAGCCATTGGGGCATTTATGACAGAGTCTATGGTGAACTGCATTGGTTCTTTCTGTCCCCACTGCTGACTACGAGTGCCTCGGGCAGGAATCAGATTTCTTCCATCACTGAGATCATATTCAAATCCCTTTCCCTACCACTTACTTGCTGTGTGAACTTAGGCCAATCACTTGGCCTTTGAGCCTTCCTTTCCTCATCTCTAAAAAGGAAATCATAGCCCCTACCCAGAGGGCTATGTGATGAGTGGCTGACATGCAAATGCCCAGCCCCCAGCAAGGGATGGATAGATGTTAACTCTTATTAATAAATGTCCCGAAGTGTGGGCCGGCCCGGTGGCTCACTCGGGAGAGTGCGGTGCTGATAACACCAAGGCCCCGGGTTCGGATCCCATATAGGGATGGCCGGTTCGCTCACTGGCTGAGCGTGGTGCTGACAACACCAAGTCAAGGGTTAAGATCCCCTTACCGGTCATCTTTTAAAAAAAATAAAAAATAAAAAATAAATAAGTGTCCCGAAGTGTAATCAGCGCCACCAGAAGAGTCTGTCCAGGGTATGGCGAGGGCCATCAGAAGCACCAGAAGTTCTTCCCTGCTCTCGATTGCAGGAAGGGTGGTCAGTAAAGGCTTCAGAGAGGAGGTGACGCCTGGTGCGGGTCTTGACATATGAAGAAGCATGCCCCAGACAGCCAGTGCCTGGCTCACAGTAAGTGTTTGTGGAATATACAAATGACACAGAGATCACATAGAACTGGGTTTGGAGAACAGAAGTCACCGAGTCTGCTGACACAGACTTTCTTAACTACCAATCAAGGGCTCTTAAAACTTCTCCCTGCAGACACTCGCTCAGACACGTGCACACTCGTCCGCCCTAAGCATCTCCCACTCAGTGGTTTGAATGACCTTTAATTGAAAATCTCCTGTTTTTGACTGTCTGTCCCTCTCTGTGGAGGCATCCAGGACAGGGTGACCCTGTGCAGCGTGTGGACGTGCCACTCCCTCCCCCCCAGCAAGGGTCAAGTAGAGGACAGAGCTGTGGCACAGATGGCTTTCCTGTCTCCCAGGAGGTTTTCTGAGTCACTGCTTCCAGAGGACAATGGTTTTCTGTCATGACAGGAGGCACAGAGGATGGCACTTTGGCGGTCCCAGGCTCAGGGTGGGAACTCAAGTCTGATCCAAGTCTCTGTGTGTACCCCAAAACTTGAAGCTGAAGTCCCTGGAGCTGCAGCTCGGCGTGGGAGAAGCCCTGAGCTGTGGCTTCTTGCCCCTAGAGTCTCTCTGGCAGCTCAGGCAAGCCCCTGCTCTACTCAAGTCTCGCCCCACAGAAGAAGTAGAGGAAGGGGGACTCATTTTTTTTCAGGAAGACAGGGACAAGGAGTTCCTACAAAGCAGGGAAGTGAACAGTGTCTCCTGGGGTGGGTCCAGAGCACCACGCAAAGCCCCAGCCACGGGAGTGTGGTCTGCGCCACGCCTGCTGCCCAGTCTCTCCAATGGGCAGCTCCAAGAGCAGAGGGGAGTCAGGAGCCTGGAGGCTGGACACGGCTCCCTGGACCCCGAGGCCCTGAGGCTGCTGGGCAGTGGTTGTCGGCAAAGAGGAAAGGTCCGAGGGGGCTGGGCCTGGCCAGTTAGGGATCGACAAAGGAGACGGCGATGTAGCGGGTGCCTTTGGTGGTGGGAAGCCCCTCGTGGTAATGTGTGAGCCGCCCGGGGTGCATGAGGGTCCAGCCCTTCCTCGGGGCTCGGATGGAGCAGTTGTAGCGCAGGAACCGACAGCCCCCGCCCTGGGAGACAGAAGCGGCACTGTCCAAAGAGGAAATCAGGCCCTTTCCCCACTGCCCCGTCTGTTCCGTGTTCTCTACTCTCCCATTTATCCCGCCGCAGCCAAGCCGCCCTCAGCCCAGCTGGCCTGGGGATGCCTGGCGGGGAGACAGCCACAGCTGCCTAAGGAAGACACTAAGTGGAGTAAGTGATCAAGAGCTCTGGCCTTGGAGTCAGGCAGCCCTGGACCAATGTCACCTCCATGCTTTACTCACTTTGCGACCAACCTGAGCCTCAGTTTCCCCTTCTGTAAAATGCAGGTTAAACTGCACAGGGTTGTGAGAATTAAATGAGATGATACAAATAAGAGCTTAGAGCCAAGTTTCCAAACCTCTCTGTGTGTTCCCTGACAGAGCAGTGACATAGTTGTCATTCCCTGACATAGTTGTGATGATTAAAAATGTCTCCAGGTAGGGCCGGCCTGTGGCTCACTCAGGAGAGTGCGGTGCTGATAACACCAAGGCCATGGGTTTGGATCTCTATATAGCGATGGCCGGTTCGCTCACTGGGAGAGCATGGTGCTGACAACACCAAGTCAAGGGTTAAGATCCCCTTACCGGTCATCTTTTTTTCTTAAAAAAAAAAAGTCTCTAGGCATTGGCAATGTTCCTTGGGGGGAAAAGTTGAGAACCCCTGGCTTTGGACAATGCCCGATACACTGTAAGATTTCAAAAAAGTATAGCTGTTTTTATGGGTATCCTTCACAGTGCCTAGCCCAGGGCCAAGTCCAAAAAAATTCTTAAAAAATAGTAGCTTAAGAACTGAATGAATGAGTGACTCCCTTAGCAGGACGCACCTGGAGGCCTCCCTTGGCCCTGAGGCCCCCAGAACTGCTCGCTCCCCACTCTGCTATCTTCCTGGTTTCCCGCTCTTGTCTCCAGCCACAAGCCTGTGTCCCACACCTAGACTAATACCACCCCCTGCCACTCCCAAAGCAGACTTCTTTCTTCCAATGAGGACAACCCCAACCTCCTTATTACTAATAGCCATCGTTCCCTTACCTACTGTGGTTCCGTGTAAGCAATTACCCATGACCTCATTTAATTCTCACAACAACCCTATGGAGGATAATCAAAGTTTTCCCATGTAAGGTATGAGGAAACAGAGAGGGGCCAGGAAACATGCCTGAGGCCACAGAGCTGACAAGGTGGGAGGCAGGACCCACCGCCAGGCAGCCTGAGCCCAGACCTCCCAAAGTGCATGCACTGTGGTTTCTAAAGCCCCCTCCCTCCCACCAAATTGTGCCTTGAACCCACCCCTTCTAGGAAGCCCTCCCCATGGACCTGGCACCCTTTCTCTCCTGTTCTCTGGTGCTGTTGTGCTCTGGGCCCCTCTGCCTCAACCACCCTGCCAGCTGCTCACCAGCCAGCCCTCCTGCGTCCCACTTGCCTGTCCCCTGGGTCCCAGGTGGCCCCTGCTCACCTCGTAATCCACCCCAACCCGGTTCAGGGCGATGTTGATGGTGAAGGTGGAGGCGTCATGGTGCGGCATCAGCGAGGGCTGCTCATCAGGCTTGTAGCGGACAACAAAGGCCAGGTCGAACTGGGCCTGGGCCAAGGCACAGGGCAAGAGAACTGGAGTTAGTCAAGAGAAGCCGCCGAAGGGGCTGGCCGGTTAGCTCAGTTGGTTAGAGTGTGGTGCTGGTAACGCCAACATCAAGGGTTCGGATCCCCGTACCAGCCAGCTGCCAAGAAAAAAAAAAAAGACAGAGAGAGAGAGAGAGAGAGAGAGGGCACAGAAGGCCAGGAGTACAGGCCAGGAAGGCAGGGGGATTCAGACGGGCCCCTCATCCAATCTGCTGGAATGTCAGCTCCCAGAGGGCAGGTTTAACAGCATGCCCTCCAGTGGCTGGCACAGAAAACGTTCTCAATAAAAATGTAGGGAGGCAGCAAGAGAAGGAGGGATGGAGGGAAGAGAAAGGAAGGAAGGAAGGGGTAGGAGGGAAGGAAGGAAGGAGGGAGGGAGAAATGAATCTGACCCTCACAACCCTTTTCAGGGACTATCTAGGCTGCTGATTCCTTGAGGGCAGGGCCCAGACACACCCAGAGCAGGTGTCTGGAGAAACCACGTGAACAAGGAAGTGACCGAGGGAGGGAGCAAGTCCAGGCGACAGAGAACTCACGCACGATGACGATGATGGCGCTAGAGAGAGGCTGAGGGGAGGAATGGGCGTGCTGGCCAGCTAGGCGGGGGAGCTTCTGCTGTGGGCTGGGGACCTCACCAGCCAGCCCTCCTGCGTCCCACTTGCCTGTCCCCTGGGTCCCAGGTGGCCCCTGCTCACCTCGTAATCCACCCCAACCCGGTTCAGGGCGATGTTGATGGTGAAGGTGGAGGCGTCATGGTGCGGCATCAGCGAGGGCTGCTCATCAGGCTTGTAGCGGACAACAAAGGCCAGGTCGAACTGGGCCTGGGCCAAGGCACAGGGCAAGAGAACTGGAGTTAGTCAAGAGAAGCCGCCGAAGGGGCTGGCCGGTTAGCTCAGTTGGTTAGAGTGTGGTGCTGGTAACGCCAACATCAAGGGTTCGGATCCCCGTACCAGCCAGCTGCCAAGAAAAAAAAAAAAGACAGAGAGAGAGAGAGAGAGAGAGAGGGCACAGAAGGCCAGGAGTACAGGCCAGGAAGGCAGGGGGATTCAGACGGGCCCCTCATCCAATCTGCTGGAATGTCAGCTCCCAGAGGGCAGGTTTAACAGCATGCCCTCCAGTGGCTGGCACAGAAAACGTTCTCAATAAAAATGTAGGGAGGCAGCAAGAGAAGGAGGGATGGAGGGAAGAGAAAGGAAGGAAGGAAGGGGTAGGAGGGAAGGAAGGAAGGAGGGAGGGAGAAATGAATCTGACCCTCACAACCCTTTTCAGGGACTATCTAGGCTGCTGATTCCTTGAGGGCAGGGCCCAGACACACCCAGAGCAGGTGTCTGGAGAAACCACGTGAACAAGGAAGTGACCGAGGGAGGGAGCAAGTCCAGGCGACAGAGGACCCACGCACGATGACGATGATGGCGCTAGAGAGAGGCTGAGGGGAGGAATGGGCGTGCTGGCCAGCTAGGCAGGGGGCTTCTGCTGTGGGCTGGTGACGAGCCACTGAGGCAGGGCTTGATGACTTGGAGGAATGATTCTAAACAGGTGAGCTCAGGGGCTGGAGAAATAGTGTCCTCCGGGGACCCTAGGCCCGGCCTCCCAGGCCCCGCCTCCCTGCCTGATGTTGGGGGAGACCCCTGTCCTCCCTGGGGACCATATATCTAGGCCTCTTCCCAAAGCTGGGAACTCTTTCCCCCAACCCCTCCCAGCCACCCCACTCCCTGCCCTCATCCTGGCAGCACCCCAGGCATGCCCACCCTGGTGTAGTAGCCGGGGTAGAGCTTCTCCGTCACAGGGGCAATGTACTCCACTAGGAACTTGTGCCACTCCCTCTCAAAGTTGATCTGGTTCATGTGGATGTCAATGGTTGGCACGTTTTCGTAGCCACCCTGGATGCGGCTGTCCTGGAAAAGACCAAAGAGAGTGTGGGAGGCAGAATTTAGGCTGACCAGTTAGCTCAGTTGGTTAGAATGCCACCTTGTAACACCAAGGTCAAGGGTTCAGATCCTGTATTGGCCAGCTGCCAAAAAAAAACAGAATTCTAGAATAGCCTCTCCAGATCCCCCTACCCTGATTTCCAGATTCTGTCTAACCTCCTCCCATTGACCTGGAAATATGAGGGGACTAGGTTACATTTCATGCAAAAGTGAAGGGGTTTACAGATGTTATTAAGGTCCCTAATCAGAGGACTCTGGGTTAATTAATGACGGGTTATTCTGAATGGGCCTGACCTACTGGGTGAGCCTTTTGAAGGAGGATCCTGAAGAGAGACTCTGTCTCCTGCTGGCCTTGAAGAAGCAAGCTGCTTTAAGTTCTACAGCTGTGGGGAAATAAATTCTGCCACCCGAACCTCAGATGAGATCCCAATCCCATGTGACACCTTGATTACAGCCTTGTGAGATCCGGGGCAGAAGATACAGTTAAATTGTGCCAGGACTCTTGACCCTCCGAAACCAAGAGATAATACATGAGTGTTGTTTTAAGCTGCTAAACTTGTGGTAATTTGTTGCAGAGCACAGAAAGTTAGTGCAGAGGGCCTTAGGTTAGCGAGGGCACTGGAGTTCAAGTGCTGGCCCTGTCGCTGCAGCTCAAGGGCTAGCCAGACCCCGGAACTGGCTCTCCCAGCTACCGGGTTCAGGAGATTAGCTCAGCCACCAAAGCACGTGGATTAGGCAGGTAACCAGAACCACAGGTTAGCCCAGCTGCCAGGTCAAAGGTTAGCCCAGTCTCTGAAGCACACAGGGTCTCCTGTGCCAGGGTCTTGTGTGCCTTTAAAAATGATGCCTGAACTTTTCAAGATGAGCGCAGCTATGGGATTCCTTCCTCAGGGAACACACAGCCTCTCCCATCCACATGCCACCTGTTTCTGATGAACTTGGTCCTGATATCACTTCCTAATGCCCCTCATCCCACATTTGCTCATTCCCACCCGTGTCGCACACACGTCTGGGGAAGGAAGCGAGAGCATTCTCAAAACAAAACAAGAACTGAAAACCTAGCAGCTTCTGGTTAAGGCAGCTCAAAGTCACACAGTGGCAATGACAGCTTGGGGGACCCACACTCCATTTCCAGTTTCTCAATCTCTCTACTCCTAACTGCCTGCAGGCACCCCTGCCAGCACCCCGTGTCCAGAGTCCCAGAGAGGTCGGCCAGCTTGCCAGAAGAGCCCAGAAAGCAGGCATGGGAGGAGGGGTGGCCTCCTGCAGCCCAGCCCAGGCGTCTGGTGCCCCCACCTTGTTATCGCCCAGAGACCACTGGCCGAAGTGCTCCATCTCCTCCACCAGCTCATCACAGGCTGCCTCCGTGAAGATGGGGAACCAGTAAGAGGGGTGGCCTCCTGCAGCCCAGCCCAGGCGTCTGGTGCCCCCACCTTGTTATCGCCCAGAGACCACTGGCCAAAGTGCTCCATCTCCTCCACCAGCTCATCACAGGCTGCCTCCGTGAAGATGGGGAACCAGTAGACATCTGGGCAAGGCTGGGGAGAGCAGGGCCTCAGTCACAAGGGTCCAGAGCGGCATCCTCCCCACTCTGCAGAACCCACTGCAGGGCCCCTTGAGGGGTCTATGCCCTGTCCCACGACCCCTCTGTGAGCCTTCTGAGTGTCCTCGAGGAGCAGGGGCTCAGTTGATGCTGGACAGACTGAGTGAGCTGCTGAAAGGAGAAGGAGGCAGAGCTCGGAAACAGACTCTCTCAGCAGAGTCCACGCGGCTCCCAGCTCCAGGGCCAGGAAGGGGACGTGCACATCCAGGGAGCAGAGGCCCGCAGGCTCCGGAGGAAGCAGACGGCTACCGAGCAGAGAGAAGCCCAGTCCTCGCTCCTGGCCCAGGCCATGGTCCACAGTAGAGATCACATTCCAGGATGTTTTCCTCTGTCCTGCCTGGGCCAGGGAAGAGGCCTAAGGCCCCCAGGCCCCTGCAGGCTCCAGCTGGAAAGTGCCAACGGGGGGAAGGGGCCTTCCCACTGCCTATTTCTCTCGCCTCAAGCACTGCCAGAGCAGACAGAAAGGTGCCTCCCCCAGGTCAGCTAGTATTGTTCCTCTGCCCTGTTCCCTGCAGCAAGCATGGGGTGTGGACCCCGTAGCGTTCTTCCCGGGGGGTGCCCACCGTCCTTACCATCTCCACCAGCTTCCCTGCCAGGGCCTTGGTGTAGTTCTCGTGGATGTACTTCTCCTTCCAGTCCTGCGGGGAGGGGGAGGCAGGCTGGGTCCTCAGGCCTGGCCCTGGCTGGCTGGGGCTTACCCCATGGGATGCTCCAAGAGGGGGCTCCTCCCCACAGGCCCCTTGAAATGTGACTGAATGTGTACATGCCTGGGGGAGGTGGTATTCGCCTGTGCCCGCTGGGTGCATGTATGTTGTCTGGGTGCACAAGTGTGCCCGCAGGAGCTGGTGTTCGCACACGTACGTACACATGTGTGCCTGTGTGGACATGTCTGTGTGCAGGTATGTGCATATGCCCACATCATCTGCAAACTCTCCATGTCCAGGAACATTGTCACAACTGTCTCCTCCTCAGAGACAAGACAGTCTGGGATAGTAGACCCATTTTAAAGCTAAGATAACTGAGGCCCCAAAAGTTGAGAGGTCAACTAAGTCACAGCTGACAGCGCAAACCCAGGTTTCCGACTCCAGGTATCTCTTCCACTAGATGGCACTGCCTCTCAGGGGACCCTACTCTCCCTACCCAAATCCTGCCCTATAAGCCCCCTGGTGTGGAGGGAAGGAGGAAAGTGGCCCACAAGAGTCCCAGCTGTTGTGAGGCTCTGAGAGGCAGATGCCTCAGGCCCCAGGATCTCTGGGATCCCTTCCACTCCCAGCCCCTGCCCGCCTACCCTGGGCCTCACCTCGGGATTGCTGAACACCTCCCAGAGGTCATTGTGGAGGTGCGTGGTCTGGTAACTGTCCAGGGAGAGCAGGTGGCCAAAGGAGTGCCGGTTGGTCAGGAACATGAACACATCCTGGGGAGAGCAGGCCCGATGGAAGACACCTGCCCTCCCTCCCTGTCCCCTGCACACTGCAGGAAGGGCAGCAGTGCAGCCTCCTCTGCCCACCGGATTGCGGTTCACAAGATCAGGGACCAGGTGTGGGTCACCCCTATGTCCTCAGCGCC